ATACTCGAAAATTAATATATATATATATATAAATTTATCTATTTCTTTTCAGTTCTATTTCATAAAAATTATAGTTCTCCGTTATTAAATATTTGAAAATGTACTTCTAAATTTAAAAAATTATTCCTATCGATTGAGAATATTTCATGATTTTGAAAAAAATATTAGATTCTTTGCATATTCAACACAAACTTAATTAATGTTTAATATATATTTGAACAATAATGCCTTATAAATATATTTCAATTTTTGAAGTGCTTATTTAAAACGTCTCTTGTCCAAAATTTTCAAAATTGAGATACCGATTCCTTTGGATTCATGGATGATTTCTTTTTTTTTTTATTTCTGCTTTGTTTCAAAATATCGTATAAACTGTGAAAAAATTTATTTTAAATATCTAGTAACAAGATGGCTGCCATCACAGAGAAACCTTACCAGTGCAAAATGTCCCTTGTTACTCGTCTTACATGTTTTCTCACTATGTTTTATTTTTTTTAGTGTTTTTTTCCTACAAAAATTTGTTTTCAAAACATCCTTTATCCTCCATCTTTAGTTTCAAATCGTTCCTTGTCCAAACTAATTTCTTTAATTATTATGAAGTGTTGCATAAGATAATGAAAATGATTATGAAAATAAACTCTTATCGGTCTCAAGAATGGGAATATGAAATATTTCAGTGTTCTCTAGTTATGACACAATAAAATTGTTTTTTGATTTGCCGAAAAATTTGCAAAATGGACAAGAGCCGTTTCTGTAGTAAGCATTTAATTTGCATATTTTATTGTTGAAACGTTTATTTCTCATATCCAGGAAACGTTGACGATATTTAATATCCTCGGTATTTAATATTTAAAATCACGTAAAGTTATGAAAAATCATCGTAATATAATTTTATTTATAGTATATACAATTAAGATATATTTCTATATTATCTTCTTTTTTTTATTAATAGGAAAATTCCGGAAAGAATTCAAAAATGTTTTCACATGCAAGTGTCTCAGATCGACTTATCCAAGAACTAGGACAGTAAACAATACAACTTACCCATATCGTTTCGCCAGTTCTTTTACACACTGTGAAAATATAAATATGAATTCAATCACCAGAAATTCTTAAAATTTATAAATTACATTTGAGGAATATTTACTAAAGTTGTTAATATTTTGTAATAAATTTAATAAAGCAGNCAACTCCAATAAATAAATAAATAAATATTTTTATTTTCAAAAATATATTTGAATCCCTTTTAACCTAAGTAATAAAATAAAAAGGTTTAGAATTATTTTTATGTTTTGAGAATTTTTGAAATGATTGTGTGAAAAATAAGTCATTAAAGTTGAGGATAAAAGAAAAATTTCTATATTTAATACGAGAATATAGCTTAAAGAGAGATTATTAATGTCTCTCTATGCTATGTCTAATAATGAAGATTCTCTTTGAATGAATATTTGTTTACTCTTTGATAATGAATATTTGTAACTCTTTAATAAATTTTATTTCAAATGAAAATTAATTGATGTTAATTCAATTTTCTTTCTATAACCTAAAAAAGTTTTAATTATTTTCAACATTAAATTCACTTTATCTCTTTGCAGGCGCATGTCTATCTCGAAACATCTACTAGTTGTTTTTATTTTATTAACCAATTTTTGTTTTATTATCTAGGTTGAAAGGGTTCAAGAATAAATATTCGAAAATAAAAGATTCTCCGGTAGATATAATGATAATGAAAATCACTTTTTATTTTTTTAATTCAATTTCCTATCGAATTAAAAATTCTAGCATTCTAGAACTACTATATATGAACTTCAAAATGTTATATCATTTGTCACTACAGTATATACAGTATTAATATAAAATTTGACATGTCAAAGAATTGTAAATCTATAAATATTTTTACGATAGAGACAATGTGAAATCGGCAGTGTTTTCAAAACTTTTATTACATAAAAATCATTGACAGTAAAAAAAATATATTCTCATAACGAGATTTTTAGTATGACTGTCTTGATTCCGTTTTATTCCTACAAATGTAGAACTGATATTCATAGTGCCTCTCGACTATGACAACGGAAATATCTTATTGTATTGATGCTTATGTCATTAATTCAATTATTTATTTAGCCCATTTAATTATTAAACTATTTAGCATATATTGTTATAAATTAGAATATTTTACAATAAAAACGTATTTTATTTGTATATTATTTTCCTGAGTAATAGTTTACAGTATCTATAACAGACAACTTGAAACTTTCACTGATGAATGGTCTTTATTATTTTATGGCAAAATGTGATACGTGTATTAAGATATTAGTGAAGCGGAACCATTTGTTTCGTCCGTTAACGAGCTTTATATATGAAACCAGCATTTTTGCAGTGAGTTGTCAATCAGATAAATATAGCGTAGTCAGAAAGTAACTTGATCAACTCAACATGCTGCAGAAATTGCTATAATCGAGGGATCCAAGTAAAAATTATTACACGGGCACAACTTGGCCTATCAGGATAGTCAAAATTGAGAGAAGATTACGCGTAACGGTTATGGTTAATGATAACGTAACCGTAAGAAATGAAAAAAAAAACTTTATAATATGAAATGAGAGTAATTTCACCTTTTAATAGACTTTGTTAAAGTTAACGAAAAAATCTCAGAATCCAAAAATCGCTTTAAAATTACTTTAAATTGAATTTAATTTTTATGATANAACATTTAACATTTTTTAATATTTATTTTAATTAATTACTTATAATTTGTATTTATATCTTCATTAAAAGCACATTATACATTAATGCACATTCTGTTTCATAAAAGAAAAAAGCATGAAAATTATAGATTGTGATGACTAATATAAACCTAAAAGAATAATAAAATGCTATTCATAAATATTTGTTTTGAAGTGTATTAATATATCTACTTTATTCATTCATAAATCCTGTTTATCATTTCATATGATATGAAATTGTGCTTTCAGAATATGAAATATTCATATTTCCAAATAAGTAAAAACTGTGAATATTTCATGTGTAGAAAGTTTAAACTCTTCAGAATTTCATGAAAATATTGGAAATGGAATAACCTAAATATTTTATACTGAAAAATAGAAGTTTAAGGTGTCCAGGACACGTTTAGTTTATAAAATTCATTAAAAAAAATTTTTAAACAAAATTTTTAATAGCATTTTATCAAAGATAATTTATTTAATAATTATTATAAGCTAGACAATTATTAAAAATATAAAAACTAGGCAAATAATTATTAACAAAACATTTATCAAGTGATTTGATCAATAAAAGATATTGTTCATTACTTTCCTTTATTCTAAATAACTCAAAAAATTATTATTATAAAATTAGCAACAGTTTACATATGAATTTGCTTAAATTTTCAAGAAAAATGAAAATAATCAATTATACAGAAGATGCAAAAAGTAACTCTGAGCGAACGCGATAATTGATTGTGTTATAAACTTTTTTAATTAAAAAGACTCTTTAATTTGCTTCCCATAAACTGCATGCGACAAAAAAAGCTAATAAAATTTTTATGGCTTAAATAGTTTGATTAATGTCTTAAATTAAGTTTATGTTGATGGTTCTTTACATGAAAACCATTTTGTAATTAATACTTTCTTTTGTTGCTACTTATCAAAAACTATTATCCTAATATACACATGGGCTATGTAAATTGTGATATATTTTGAATTTTTATTAAGTTATTTTTTCATAAATATTATGTGTTTGAAATTATTGGAAATAATTAATTTTAATTTTTGTTGTTATTTTGAATGACATTTGAAGAGATATTTCTAGATTTTGTCGAAAATTTTATATAGGCCTATATAACTTTTCAATGCAAACTAGTAAAACATAGTTGTTAACGTAAGGTAATAAAATTATAATTATCTTTATTGAACGATTTCCTTCTGTCAAGTAAAGTAATTAGGGAATAAACCTAACAGAACAATTTTCGAAAACTTCCTCAGTGTATTTATTTTGTCAATTGTGAGTATCATGGGCTGAGTTACGGGAGACATGGGGAGCATTTCCCAAACATTGGTAGGAAAAAAGTAAATTTTGAGACAAAATGCATACATTTATATATATATATAGGCCTATATATACAGAACGGTTAGAACTAAACGCAGAATAATTATACCACGTGATTCTTTTACGAAAACCAACAAAAAAGACCTGTTTATCGATTAGTCGCGCTGTTTCGGAGATATTCGCGCCGAAAGTCTTATGACGTCACTTCCGGTATAAAGAGATAAATCAGAAATAACTCTTATAAAATGAAGTTACGAGATATTTATTAACGTTTAGTATCACTGATTGCATGATAATAAGTATTCAAAATAACCTCTGCCTAGTGAGGAACAAGAAGCTGCCCGTCGAAGAATGCTCCTTTGAAAGCGTTGCAGTATGTCAAGTGTTATTGTTGTGAAGGCCTGGGTCAAGTCGGCTGCTAGGACTTCTTAGGAGTCTAGTGGTAACGGCGTTTTTCGCTATTGTTTACAATTTTTATAAATTTTTATGATTATTGGTCCAAAAACCTAAAAGCAAATTTAGCAGTGGAGATAAATACAAAAAGTATCGCTCTATTACTATGGAATCTAAACTTGGTATATGGGCGCGTTATCCTTTGGGCAAAAAGGGCAATTACCAGGAGCACTCACCAACAGGAGGTTACAAACCAATCTTTTATAAGAAAATATTTACCCAAAAATTTCCCTGAAGAAAAATATCTGAAGTCTGAATATATCTGAATATGGTGCCCATAATTCAAATTTGCCTGGTCCCATATAGCTCACGCTACTGACTTCATATCATAAAATTAAGTGCGTTAGGTGAAAAAAAAACTGCGTTTGAAGCATCTGCTTAGTACAAAGCCGTAGCCAGAGGGTAAACGAGCTTAATGTATTCTATTAACTACATTGAAGGATCAAACACTAACGATATGTGATTATTCTGTGTACAAATATACTTTCTAGGTTAGTTTTCGACTTACGACAAAACTTTGGGAATTTAACCTGTTCGTGAGTAGGGAAACACCTGTATTATAACACATTGCCATTAGCTTAAAGTACTTTTTGTGTTTGTAAATTCTCACTCTGTTAATTTAGGCCTTAAAGTGCCTTAAGCAGTTTATTCTGAATCGGGTATTAGTGCTAATAGGGCGGAAACAATAAGGGGGAAAACAGTCAATAAATTAAGCCTAATACTAAATATGTTTTACAAATGATTTTAAAATAATGTCAATAACAATACTTAGTACATACATAAATTCTTAATTTCTTCTGCAATTTTATTTAAAAATTTTGCATAGAAAATTTTAACTTTCTGTTCAAATTGCTCAACTCCTCCGAAAAATTAACATCATTATCATACATGTTTTAATTAAAACGCTACAGCATCTTTACAGTTGATGAAAATGTGCATCTTTGAAGTTGGTGTTATCACGTTATCCAGGTGTGAAAACGTGGCACATTCAACGGCTGGGGCTCAGTGGTATTTATCTAGTATGTTGGTCTTGGTAGAACAGGTAAAGTGGCAATGCTGTTCACAACTGGGAAAAAAATTAAAAAAATTTAAGTAAATCATTCATTATACATGTATTCATGGGCGACTTCAGAAGAGGCACACGGAGCATTTGCCGTCCTCTGGAATCCAGTAAAATATTCCACAAATTATAATCGTAAAAGTAATTGAGATATTGAGACCTTACACTCTCAACCATAGGAGGCTTTTTCTGTCTTTTTGTATTGATGAAATATTGTATTCTATAATCTACTTGTGGAAAATCTCCAAAAGTTAAATAAGTAAATAAAAATTTATTGATGTAATTATTTGTCTCCACGCTTTGCTCCCCTGGAAAATTTTCTGTGAACGTCCATTCGTGCATTCATATTTTGAAATGCAATATATTTTAAAAAAATCAAATTTAAAAACAAATTTCCCAGATAATTCCCTAAACGTTTCAAGCCTCTAACTTTGCCCCCGGATAGTTTTATTTCCCATATGTCAAATTCCCTGACTTCGTAACACTATGTTACTACTAATGCTTTTCATCAACAGAGGCAAGTGTTAGTAAATATAGATTTTTAGATGCCCCCCAGAAGACGAATCTTTGACGACGATTTCACAAAAATTCGTCACTAGGAGATAGCTAAAATTCTGCAT